TAGTTATAAACTACAAATACAGCATTAGTTGTGGTTTTGTTTCCGTATTAATATAACTTTAAGAATGTGAAAATTAAAGTGAGAGGTTTTTTTCATCTTTGGGAACTGAAGGAATTTATCTGAATTGATACCACTGAAATAAGTTGCATGGATTATGAATCGGTTCAGCTATGCAGTAATTTGTCATTATCGTGAGTAGCATCAACAGAATATTCAATTATGATTAGTATTAATAATTTAATATATTTATCGGCTTAGAAACTTTTTAGAAAAATAAAATACGCTGCCATTTAAACCCATTAACTTTGAATATGGTGTTACAGTTCTGTGATGAAACAGTTAACTTATTTTCCAGGTGTCTACAACTATCAGGTAGAAGATGATATTGGAAAACTAAAATCATGCCTTACTGGTTTCTTACAAGAACATGGGTTGTCTATAGTGGTGAAAGATGACTATGTTCATGAGTTGTAAGTATTGTATCTTAAGTGTCACTTTGTCAGTAAAACTGACCTGAAAATACTAACTGTTACTTCGCTATCCAGTTGTCGCTATGGAGCTGCTGAACCACATGCTATTGCTGCCTTCATGGGAGGTAAGAATGTCACTGTATTTCTAAGGTCCATACAAACAAACCAATCTGCTGTAGTACATACTTGAGTCAGAATCTCCACTGTTTTAATTACTTTGTATTGTCAGAGCAAAGACTGTAATCACAGACTGTAGTCAAAGACAGTATTAGAACAAAATCCGCCCCCTTTATTCTCCAGATGTGACCTCCTATGGTATATAGAAAAAGTGGACACATCAAGGGTTTAAAGTTAGTAAAAGAAACCAAATAAACTTAAATAATCTCAGTAGATCGATTCTAGTAGCTTAAAAATGTGTTTAAAAATAAAATGCTTGAAAGAGGCTTTGAATTTAAAAAAAAAAAGGAATAATTGTAGTAATACTAAAATTAACACAGTACACATATTCCTTGTAAATTAACACAATACACTTACGTTAAGTATCTATTAAATATAAATAGCCTTGATTGCTTACCTTAATTCAACCTGCAGGTATTATCAAAACTAAATATGTTTTAATGGATGCTTAAAGTTGATGTATCGGTTAACTTACCTTCTTTATTTGGCTGCATGCAGTGCTGAAGATAATGTATTAAATAGTCTGTGGACGTAGGAATTTTTTTCTGATTAAGTGAAACTGGGTATGTGCAGTGCTTTAGAAAAATATGTAGAGATAACTTCTGAATAAATTACAGAGTATTTCATACTACAGGAGAACACAAAGGGATCAGAGTGAAGTGACCAATTTATTTTACAGTTCAACTGTACGTGATTTTTTTTTAATTGAACTTCTCAATTTCATTTTGTGAGGTCACAACTTGCATGGGTCTACCTGCTCACACATTTTTACTCTGTGTGTGTGTATGTACATGGAGAGAGAGAAAGTATATACAGCAAAGTGTATGTAAAGCTAACTTTTGAAGTAACGGTTTTCTGAGCCTCATTTATACTGGGAACTACTGAAAGGCATTTTTTCCTCCTAGGAGTTGTATCAGGCGCTTCCGAAATAATTACAATGTAGTGAGTTGTAGATAAATAACATTTTTACTGTTTTTTAAATATGACCAGCAAACTACCTTCTGTTTTATCTTTTTTTTTCTTTTACAGGAGCTGCTGCACAGGAGGTTATCAAAGTCATTACAGGGCAGTTTGTAATTTTTAATAACACTTATATTTACAGTGGAATGTCACAGACTTCAGTGACTTTCCAGCTGTAGGATAACGATCTCACACTTGTTGCCACCAGGCGCTGCTGCTTGGTTCTGTAAATACTGTGGTGTTCTGGCACTGACTGGACTGTTCTGTATTACTTGCAAATGAAAGTTCCTTTATTTGTAACAATTTTATCTTTTTTTTCTGAGGACAAATAAAATCATACCAAAACCTGAACATTTTCTTATATCTCGAATTTTCTGATTCATCTTTGAAAGAAAAAAGCAGCAGCTGTTCTTTGGCCTGGTAAGTTGCATTTACAAACTGGCTTACCTGGTTTGCAGCAGAGCTGAATTTTTTTTTCATAAAAGCTGCTGTTCAGATTGAGGGGCAGGACTTGCAAAAGGTTGAAAAAGGCTAATGTAACTATGATGGTTTGAGGATCTAACTGTGAGAAGAGCTAGGGAAAGCTATAATACCTTTAATTGAGTTCACGGACACATTAGGGAAAGGGATTGTGTGCCTGAAAGCTTGATTCTTTCAGCTGTATTCATCTAGTAAAAGATTTTTTCCTGCACCCTTTGTCTCTGGCAAATGTCAAGTGATGGCTAACTGCATTTTGTGGTGGTGGTGCAGTTTCCAAAAATGCAGAGTATGGAAACCGAGCTGCATTGAAAACGAAGTGATTTCCCCCTAGCCTTGGCCTGGAGCCACGCTGAGGTTCGGAGGGCGCTCAGAGAAGGTTAAAAGGGATCGCCTGGTGCCCGAGAGGAGCGGCGTCTGGCGGTGCTTCCCTGCCC